AAAAAAAAAAAAAAAAAAAAAATCTATCTCTTATGGGTCATACCGGTTAATATCTCTAATTAAAAGTAACAGTAAGAAATTTTCATTATACGTTCAAGTCTGTATATCGTACAATCCAACTACTAAAACTATATATATAGCCTTCAAATAAACCCTAAAGGCAATCGAGTGTCAAATCAAGAGTTATAACTCCCGAGTATATGAAATAGCAAATCACTAGCTCAACTAGCTCAAACATAACTTAAAAAAAGACGTGACCTCTAACCCTACGACTACTCGTGAGGAAGCTTCTCGCTCTCTCCCACCGATAAGAACGACACATTTTGTAGCTCATATCTCTTTTAAAGCTTTTGGAATCCTTTCGTGAACGTTCTCACTTTACATCAACGTCCATTGAAGTATACTTAAATTTATTTTGGAAGAAAAGTTGAAAGTTGATCATTAATGTAGAATGGCAAAAAAGAGGAAAATGGAAAGCCTAAAAGTCTTTGTAATTTCCCAAGTCAAACAAGTCAACGTGGTGAAATACACGTCAGCAAATGACCAATGGGCTTGTAAGGGCATGGGCCCTATCTTTCCTGGACCTCATTACCCCTAACATCAAACTCCATCAACAAAAAAAAAAAAAAAATAATAATAATAATAAGAATAATAATGAAAAAGGAAGTATTAAGAAGTTGTGTGGTCCCCACCTTTGGGTTGTGGAAGGACTCCCACGTGGCAAAAGCTATGGGAATCTCTCTATCTTAACTAAATTTTACAAAAATCTTGTCCTTCTACATAATTGGTCCAATTTTCATTTTTATTAAAACGTTACAACAAAAATTTAAATTTTATTTTCCACCTATTTAATTTAAATATAATTCAACTAATAAAAATATTATAAAATTTGAAATTATATTAAAATAATAATAATTCGTCAATTTCTGAATTCATTTATATTGACCCCAGTGGAGCCCACTTTTACTGGGTATGTCCGGTGCCCCAAATTTATATCTCTCCCGCAGAAATTAAAGACGATGAGAAAAAAAGACAAAATAAAAATAAAAATAAAAAGAAAAAGAAAAAGAAAGAAGAAAATGAAAAACGCGTATTCTGTAAAAGAACACAGTTTGAAAATGAATCTTCTCTCTCCAAGACTCTCCTTCGTCCTCCCTTTGCCTTTCCTGTTTTGTTGAACCAGAATAGAATTAGGGTTAGGGTTCTCAGACCTCTTGCTCTTCCTCTACCTCACCTTCTCACACGATTCTCTCCTTTTTTGGACGTCGTCTTCATTTTCTTCTGGAAAGCTAGTTTTTTTTTTTTTTTTTTTTTTTT